AAGTGGAGAGCAAATGTTTTGAGAATGATGAGGGCAATGAATGTACAAATGCGCTTTACACAATTGATGTATGTGTGGATTGTGATAAGAGCTGTATGAGCCCCTAGTAAAATGATTTTTAAAAAAGATTTAGTCTTAGAAACCCACAGGGGCAGTTGTACTCTGCCCTATAGGGTGGCTATGAGTGGGAATCAACTTGATGGCTGTGAATTTGGGTTTTGAATCGGATATTGGACAGAGTCATTAGGGAAATCCTCGGCATGCACCCCACATCGGATCACACTAAGAGGCCATCGCATGCCTCCCTGGTAGTCGATAGTCTGACGTTGTTGTTGCTAGGTGCCGTTGAGGGGTACCAACGGAACAACACCGCGCGACCCTGCACCGTCTTCACAAAGGCTGCTGTGTCTGAGCCCACTGTTGCAGCCACTCTCTGTCCACCTCCTTGAAGCTCTTCCTCTTTGCTTGCTGACCCGCTACAAAGCATGACATCCTTTGCCGAGAACTGGTTTCTCCAAAATATAAAACCAAGTCTCGCTTGTAAGGAACATTCTGGCCACACTTCTTCCAAGACAGACTTGTCCTTTTGGTCCATGGTACTTTGAGTATTCTTCACCAACATCATCGTCCAAATGTATCCAATCCTTAGTAGTCCTTATTCCCTGTCTGTTCAGCTTTCGCATGCCTATGCATAGGTACGATTAAACATATCATGACTTGGGGCTCAGGCATACCTTAGTCCACCAAGTGAAATCTTTGATTTTTAACATTTTCAAGAAAGAGATCTTTTGACAGCAGGTTAAGGAGCCTGGAGCATTGGTCTGGGGCACAGGTGATGGGCTACTCACCACAAGCAGACCAGCTGCTCTGCAGGAGAAAAATAAGGCTCTTTGCTCCCATAAAGATTTACAGTTGGGGAAACCATAGGGTGCTCTGAGTCATAACTGACTGAGTTTTGTTTCCTTTGGGCTTGAGTTTGGTTTTGAGCAGCAGCACATTGCCCCATTCAGTGGATCATCTGGTCTCTTGACTGCTGTGTGCATGGGTGTGGATTGTGGGTCCACGGGAAATGACAATCTCGACAACTGCAATCTTTTCTTAGTTTATGACAGTGGTTTTGAGCCTTCCTAATGCCGTGACCCTTTAATACAGTTCTTCATGTTGTGGTGACCCCCAACCATAAAATTATTATTTTTAATATTTAATTTTTCCCCCTCTTTTTTAAAATCATTTTATTAGGGGCTCATACAAACAACTCTTATCCCAATCCATACACACAGCAATTGTGTAAAGCGCATTTGTACATTCATTGCCCTCATTCTCAAAACATTTTCTTTCCACTTAAACCCCCGGCATTAGGTCCACATTTTTTTAATCAACATGGCTACAAAATCATATATGCCTTTATTAAACAAAGATATCACAATGTGAGGCTATTGTTGGTTTTTTAAAATCATTTTATTAGGAGCTCATACAGCTCTTATCCCAATCCATACACACATCAATTGTGTAAAGCGCATTTGTACATTCACTGCCCTCATCATTCTCAAAATATTTTCTCTCCACTTAAACCCCCGGCATTAGGTCCTCATTTTTCCCCTCCCTGCTCCCCCCTCCCTCATGAGCCCTTGATAATTTATAAATTGTTATTTTGTCATATCTTGCCCTGTCCCACGTCTCCCTTCACCCACTTTTCTGTTGCCCGTCCCCCAGGGAGGAGGTCACATATAGTTCCTTGTAATCGGTTCCCTCTTTCCTACCCATTTTCCCTTTACCCTCCCTGTTTCGCCATTCACACCACTGGTCCTGTAGGGCTCATCCGCCCAGGATTCCCTGTATTTTCAGTTCCTATCTGTACCAGTGTACCTCCTCTGGTCCAGCCAGACTTGCAAGGTCAAATTCGAGTCATGGTAGTGGGAGCGGGGAGGAAACATTTAGGAACTAGAGGAAAGTTGTATTTTTCATCGTTGTTACATCACACCCTGACTGGCTCATCTCCTCCCCGAGACCCCTCTGCAAGGGGGCATAAAATTATTTTCATTGCTACTTCATCACTGTCATTTTGCTGGTTATGAATCGGGCGACCCCTGTGAAAGGGTCATGCGACCCCCAGGTTGAGAACCGCTGGTTTACAATAACGTGGCTTCGTGGCCCGGCGGTCGTGATTTTGGGTTTAGGTTGAGATGCAGTCCGTAGTAAGGGCTGCCGTCTTTGGTTTGCCATCAGGAAGTGCTTCAAACAGTTTATCTTGGGGGACGTTCTTTCTCAACTGACCTTCAGGACTTGTTATTGGAGGTGAGGCCACCGGCAGGCCCGATGCCTGCCATGGCACATGCTGCGTGGGATTGTCCAGCTTCGCCTTTGCTCAGACTGGCCTTCCTGCAGGGGCACAATGGGCATGCAGGCAGTGAGCAGTGGTGGGGGTGGCTCTCAAGAGCCCGCAGAGTTAGAGGCCACTGCCCAGTGTCATCTCCAACTGGGTTTCCCTGAGCACCTGATGGGAAAACTAACCCATCGCTCTCACGCCCTTGTATGGCTTATTTTCTCCACAGACTTTCGTCTGAATCTCGATTGTGATTTTCACACGTTTCATAGTTAAATCACACGGGTATTATTTGTCAAGTTTTATAATTAAATACTGTGTATTTATACAGTGTATGATGTCTTTCAGATAGCAAGTCAGCTTTCCCCTTAGTAGTTGTTTTTTATGTCTAAAGGAGGATCTCCAGGACCACATTTCAGACATGGAAGCAAGCCGCAAGATCCATGCAAGAGGAGCGGCTGAAGGAACTGAGGAGAGAGCAACTCCGGAGGAAGGTAGCTGAACTTCTTCCCGACTTCCAGGCCCCTCGGTGAAGGAGCTGCACCCCCTGCCGGACGGACAGATGCTCTGCCCTGTGTGAGGAGTGTGTGTTGTGCCGGTGACCTCCGCCCTGCACAGCGGCTGGGACTCACAATGGGTCCATAAAGCACTGTGCGTTATTGCCACGAGCCCACCTACGTACAGATATATACTCGGTGTGTTTCCTGTCAGCCACTTCTTGAATCAAAAGTTAAGTTACTTTGGAGATTTCTATTTCCATGTTTGATTTCTAGACGGGGTCACTTGAAATAACAGTCTGGATCGCCACTGTTCAAATTCATCCCGTTTATTTTTTAACATGATCAACTTTAAAAAGAACAAGTGAGCCCGCCGAAGGCTGTGAAGGGAAATATGGAGGAGCCCTTAAAGCATAACGTGCGTTGTTGAGCAGTGAGCCTCTGGTGGAACGGCAGTGAAGAGCGAGGATCCTCTGAGCAGGCGGCTGCGGAGGTCAGTGTTGTAGGGCAGGCATCCTACCAGACGGCCCCCGCTGGTGACTGGTGACGGGACTCGGTGTTTTCCAAGGGGCTCCTGAGCAGCTGCTACAGAGCAGCAGCCGAACCGGATGTTAAGAACCCGGGACACCAAAGAGCCTTCTTGAGAAGCAGGTGGGTCTGATTCCAAAGCTATTGCCTGGACAAGGTCGCCCAGCACCCAACAGAAATGTCTGTTCACGCTCCCGGCTGTAGTTTCTACAGCAGACACTCCTCGCTGGTCTTCTAGCCCTTGCCTTTGAGTTAGCGCGTGAAAACATACAGGTGATCAAGTCAAAGAATGGTTTCATCTCCAAGATGCTATGGAGTATAAAAAAGATTGGTAAAATGCTCTCGTCTGGGAACTTAGCCTTGCTAGGAAAAGAAATGTGTAACAAGATCCATGTTTGTTGTGACCCTTTCTCATAGTCTAGTCATATAGTCAAATGCATGCACACAGGAAACAAGAGTCCCTGCTAGCCTGAGGCAACTCCTATTTGGCGTGATGAAAACTTGAGTTGGTAAAATAAATTCCTGTGGTTGTTTCCTTTCATGGTAACACAGCTGTCATCGAAAAACTTAAAGATGTTCCCTTATTTCAACTAAAGACCACTAAATAGGCCTAAAAATCATCCGCAGTTACATTGACCTCAATCAGCATCTTTGTCTCGTACTTTGCTATAGTCCAGTTCTAGAACACTGGCTGATATTAGCATCCGGAAATCAAATACTATTACATAGTATTACTTCAATAGCAAGTGTATATAAACAGAGGTGAATCCTTTACTTAAACATACTAGGGGGCCTAAAAAAATTCCACAGTATAAGTTTTCTCCATTAGGCTATTTTATTTTTAGCTCATCCACATCAACTAGAAATTATGTCTGTGGGCTATGTTCTGATTAAGTCACCTAGATCTATTTACTGAAACATCTACAGCAGTGGTCCTCAACCTTCCTCATGCATACAGTTCATGTTGTGGTGACCCCCCCAACCATAAAATTATTTTCGTTGCTACTTCCTAAACTGCAATTTTGCTACTGGGCAACCCCTGTGAAAGGGTCGTTCAACCCCCAAAGGGGTCGCGACCCACAGGTTGAGAACCATTGCTCTAGAGAGACAAAAAATAAGGGGGCTGTTTCTTCCTGGAATATCTTGAAGGTATGCTTTGGGATGTTACTGTTAACATAATGCTCATGTAAGCAGTGTCCCTGACCTACAAGATGGGGGGGAAAAACCAACTTGGACAATGGTAGATAGGGTTAGGGAAAGTCTACAGGCTGGGGAAATCGAGGCAGCACTGCTATCAGACAGGGTTTCTCTTGGTATGTATCCACTGATTTTTTTTTTTTTTTAACCAAGAAATACCAACTGTTTTCCTTTAAGGAAAGCACTTTATTGTCCATTGAAACAGCTTGGTCACAGTACATTATTTGACAGAAATGGCAGTAACTTGCAAATCTGCACTTGAAAGGCCTGGTGTCTGAGGCGCTTAGAATAGGAATACAAGCATAAAAGCTGCAAAATGCCTAGCACAGGGCTGGCTTTGGAAATCCCCTAGTGTGTTGTTGGGCCGGTTACATTGGATCTTAAGTATTAATTCAGTATTAAATAAATATTCCCAGGTTTCCTTTGCTCTAACATCACCCAGAGATGGAATCAAATGAAAAGGCTCAAGATCCCCCACAACCCACTGAAAATCCTCCCGACCGCAGGTTACCGTGAGTCGGGTGGGCCTGGGAGCTATGTAGCACGGCATCTGCTCCTCAGCGCCCTCTGATGTGTTCCAGTTGTATCACATCTTGAACAGCAGAGGGGATCTCACTGTCAAAGCTTGTGGGAGGTAAAAAGTGCCATTGCAAGGCCACCGTAGGAGGGCGTGAGCCCAACTCGGGAGACCACCACAGCCCCCCAGAAACTTGCCACCGATCCATCTTTGCCCTGCGGCCAACCCAAGTGTGGACAGTTGTCCACTGGCAGCAGGAGTAAAGTTAGCTGATTTTGCAACAAGTTCACCAGCCACACATCAGTGGAACACACTTTCATTTAGTACTGAGCGAAACGTGGCTCTGTCTCCCAGCATTCCCTCTGCAACATCTTAACTTGCCATACAATGTCATACGTGTCAAGCTGTGGTCGAGAACACCAGATTCCCAACAGGCACCTGAGTGGAAGGTCTCTGTAAGCCACGGCTTGAGGAAATTCTGGCTGAAGCTGCAGTCAGTCAGTCCACGCTGAAAGAAAGCAACAAACTCACCACCGCGCCCTCTGGTTACAGAGTAGACGGCTCGACGTCCGTGGAGATCTCCACCCACTTCAGCGAGACCTGACCCCACAAAGCATTCAGTGGTAGACATCCAGCTTAAAACTGCTTCCACCGTTTCCCCGAAAATAAGACAGTGTCCTATATTAATTTTTGCTCCCAAAGACGCGCTAGGTCTTATTTTCAGGGGATGTCTTTTATTTTTCCATGAAGAATACGGTACACATTTATTGTTTGTTTTATTAAGAGACCTCGCACTTCCTGTCTGCTCCAGCTGCGCTGCGGCCAACAGTGAGCTGCATGGCGGCGCCCACCACTACGGTCCAGAGTCCAGAGTTACGGTAGCTTCGGGGGGCCTTATTTTCAGGGGGTGCCTTATATTTCAGCAAGAGGCAAAACTGTAAGTAGGTCTTATTTTCGGGGGATGTCTTACTTTCGGGGAAACGGTAGACGTCATCTTTTGTGTGTGTGTGTTGAGCTCTGTAATAAAAACACTAACATGCTAACCAAAGGAAGTCTGTTAAGTAGGTTGTCAGGCTTATGCTGAACTTTACTGGCACTGTTTCCTGGCAGTGGAAGATTCTGGTATAGAAAATGCTCGCTTGCTAAAAATATTAGAAATACCAAGGACTATTGCATAAGAGAAAGTTTACAGCAATCTGTCTGCGAGGCAGATGGTACAGTGGAAGACCCAAATTACTTCATTCACCACAGGCACTCCCCAGGGTACAAACGAGATCTGTTCCTGCGTCTTTAAGAATTGTGGGCAAGTCAGAACAGGTGCGTCCAGTACTTTAGCCTTCCTTGAGTGAAAGAAAAGACTGGAAAACTTGTTAGTGATTTAAAAGCTACACCTGCAGTAAGTGAAGGTGACTGTGATGAATAATTTGTTGCAACCAAGTAGGGATTGAATTAATCGTTTCAAAAGTGATCCTAACTGGGGACTGCCTGTACTTGGATAACAAAGATTTACAATACCCTAAACACACACACACACACTCGCGTGTGCGCGCGCTCTCTCTCTTTCGCTCCCTCCAACACGCTTAAGGCATTATGTTAGCAGCTAAGGTCGGTTACCTTCCAGTGGGCCCAGCTAGGACCACCAGGTATTTATTCTGTGTGCCATAAGTAAGGTAACCAGACGTCCCGATTTTTGGAAAGAATGCATGACAAGCTAGGGAATACATGTCTATTTGGCCCATATAGACCAAATTTTTAATCAAGACACCCCACACACACACATCAATGGTGTCCCGCTTTAAATCTGGTCACCTTAGACTCATAAGGAATGTTTTAAATATCAAAAAGACTTCCTCCTTTCATGTAATCCTGTCCTTAACGGAATCTCCCAAGTGAAGCTGCATTTCTCTTCCCTCAGGCCAGTAGGCTGTGGGCTCTCAGGGGTCGGTGAGCAAAGCTGTGGTCACAGGAGGAGAGCAGACAGACAGTCATATTCCGGGGCTGGCTTGGCAGTCCACAAGGCAAGCAGCCCCCTCGCCCAATGCTTCTCCCTCCCAGAGGCCTTGTCCTCAAATCGGTCCACAGTACATCCGTCTGCCTTCTGGCAAGAGCGGAAGTCACTAACAAAAATCCCACACAAGCGAAGTTCCAGACCATGAAAGGCTCACAGCCTAGCCCCGTGTTCCCAAAGTGGCTAACACCATCCCTGGGGAGGGGGAGAGGCGCACGCGTGCACAGGACTAATCTAGGGGGCTGCAAAAAACAAATACCTACACTTTACCCTGGATGATGGGTAGGACAAAAGTTTTTCATTGCTACGGGGCACTCGCTACCTCTTTTTCTGCAAAGGTAAAGGTAGGCCCAGTAAGTCTGGGAAGCTATGGTCTAGGGTAGCGACCCCCATGTCCCGGAGCCCACAATGCGCCGTGCCTGGCCACCTGTTTCTGTTCCTCTGTGGGTGCACGCGCCCCAACAGCACAGGCTTCCACAGCTTTCCCATTTCTCCTGTGAACCAACAGGGGAACTTCAACCAGCATCTTAATTCCAAATAAGCCAAGCCAGTCCCTACCCGAGTCCCCCGTATTGCCATGGGAGGTATGCTGTGAAAATGATCATCTCCATCGCGTTGCATTTTGATTATTGTTAAATATTTGGCAAGAGGTTGAACTGCCTGACTCTACTCAGGTTGTCAGGGTTTTCTCTAAGCCCTGCCAGAGACTCAGCATTGGCGGCCCCTGACCCTGAAGAGACGATGTGGCTATGCTTTCTGCTCTTGACATCATCTCTCCTACCCAAAACCTAGGCCTTAAGCCATCAGTCAGACCACACCCCGCTTTCTTCCCAGATGAATCACTTCACTCAGGGCCAGGGTGAGGGTGTTGCAGCGGAAAGCACACCTCCACCAACACCCCCACCACCCATGCTCTGGCTCTGCCGCAGAAGGCCGAGTCCGACTGCCCCTTACACAACCCAGCACATGGTGACTGACCTGGGGCCAGCCCGAGTCCCGGCCAGTGGGGCTGGGGCTGGCTGCAGGGAGGAGCGATGTTCCCTAACCATGTGCACGAACCTCTTACTAAAGCAGCGCACATGCACAGGAGGAGGGAAGCACCGGCAGGCAGTCCCAATACGAAGCTACGGCCCCGCGCAAATTTGAGGACACCAGAGTTATCCTCGGAAGAAGAGTGCATTTCTGGGAAGTCCCAAATCCTCTCCTCGTCACTCTGGGTCGTGGGAGACACAATGAAAGGAATCACCTGTTTGGGGAGCAGCACAGGAAGAACGACAATCCCTGAATCAGTGGGAACCATGACCACCACCCTGCCCCTGCCCCCGAGTGAGATACTTGGCCTCGGAGGAGCTGCGAGGGAGCACGGTGAGTGAGCAGGTGAAGCGGACGAAACCAACTCTCCCTGGAGCGCAGCAGCCCAAATAATGCCAGAGGCCACGCTGTGCAATGTGGCGCTGCCGGTGATGGGGGTCTGAAATGCTTCCACGAGCGGAAAGCAAGCCCTTGGTACAGTCATCAGCCATCCTACCCAGGAGCAAGAGCAAAGTGGTCCCATGGGACTGTCCATTTGCCTCTTCCAACCATCGCCACGAGGCTGCTAGCACCTGACCAGGTGAGACACGGAAAGAGGGAAGAAAACATTAATCCTTCCTGGAGTCCTTTATAAGTAACCCAGAGCACAGCAGATAAGACATGTAAGACTAGAGAAATACCAACTATCTCGTCACCTGGACTTCACTGGACACTAACCGTAATCGCCGCTGTGGTTATCACCATACTATCCTTTCAAGACCAGATGCATTGTCTTGTGACTCCATCGGGGCTCTGCCTGCCCTCCTTGAGTAGTGAACATCTCATACTCCGAAAAGAAGCATGTCACTGCACAACATGGTACAATATGGGTGCTTTCACTGCACTGCTAAGAACCCTAATACTGGCTTCAGTATTCTGACATCCCCACATTCTCTTCAGTCTTAGGATTGTTCCTAACAACACTGCACACCTGAGGGGCTTCCGCTGCTATCCCCAGGCCTCAGCCCACCCGTGGCGCTCCCCACCGTCTGTGAGGACACTGAGGAAGGCATCAGAACCCCGCCTTGCAGGTGACCCTGAGACCCAGGAAGAGTTGAAAGTTCGCATGGCTATAAGACTTCAGAGGGACTGGGACCTGGTCCCACTCCCTAGCCCCACCCCTCCTACATGGAGGGTGGGGTGGGCACTGCAGCTGTCTGTGCTTTTGCGCACCCCTTCCTCTTCGACTCCTGGCCACCAAGTTGACTACTCAGGTGACCGGAGAGAAATGGCTCTTTTACAGCTTTGATACAAAAAACCTCTTCCGTCGGGAAGTCGGACACTCCAGTCCAGTCTACACCTGAGCGTGGCCCCTAGAAAGCCTTTAAACTGAGACCAGGGGTGAAAAGGAGCATCCTGCGGAGGCGGAAGTGCCCCCTGGGCCCATCGGAAGGCACGTCAGACAATGTCCTCGGCGGGGTGGTGGGCAGCGCGGGTGCCCAGGGTGGAGAACTGGTGCCAGTTGCGCAGGAAGCCCCGACTGTACTGGCCTGTGTCCACGATGAGCCCGCAGAGGAGCCGGCGCCCTGTCTTCTGTCGTAGGGCCTGCTGGACTTCCCTCTCGGTCACGTTGTAGCTGATGTTGATCAGCTGGATCAGCAGGATGTAGGCCATGCCCGCCGTGACGATGGCAGAGTACCACACGCAGGTGAAGGACAGCGCCGAGCTGGCGGGGGAGAGGACTGTCAGGCTGCACTGCCACTCGGTCACAACAACACTCACAAAGTTGTCACCCTCTTCAGTGTCCCGCCCACCCACTGCTGAGGAGCTGCTCAAGCTGTGACCACTAACGTGTCTGTAAAATAATAACAGGTACCTCTTCTGTTATGTCTGTTAAGGACTTTTAAAAATGTCTATTTTCCAGCCTCAGACACAACTACGACACTGCCTCACGCGCAGGCAGCATCAGTTGGCTGAGTGAACGATTTCTAAGTTGGGCCTCGCTCCTGAGCAAACGAAGGCACCGTGACAATGGCGGCCAACATCCTGGAGAAGCTGGACCAGGCCAGTGCCCAAACCGCCTGTCTCCATCCTCCTCCGTCCAGTGCAGACCACGCAAGGCAGCTACGGGAAGTGCCGAGTTTCTGGGTGCATGTGCAAGAGGACCACCGCCTTGACATGCCAGCTTCCTAAAGCCAAACAAACACTGCAGGACCGCTCGACCCCTGCTGAGACGGCGAGGAGGACCCGCAGAGCCATGGTCCATTTGGTGATTTTCATCCACATTTGCTAACAGGAGAATTAGCTGGAAATAATCCCATTTTGGAATAATTTTGAAGGCCCACAAGTCTGCAGATGATTAAGGGCCTCCCCCAAAGGAGGAAAGCCCGAGGCCCACACAGGGGAGGTGATGAAGAACGGCCTGAATGGAATGAGAAACGGCACCAGGCCCGGGCTGCTCATTCCATTCCAGTCTGGCACCCAGTCTGCAAAGCCCTGCCTAGTGCCACAGACAGGCTCCACCCACTCCAGGACGGTGGTCGCAGATGGGCTACTGGTGGCTCTCAGCAGAGAGAAGACGGAAGCCTATCCCGAGAACCACTCTATTCTAACAATGCCCACAGACAGCTACATTTACCGTGACAATGGGGGCGGGGTGTTCCGGGAGCAAGAACAACAAAGCCTGCAGAGGGGCCCAGGCTTGCTCTGACCAGAAGCCCCCGCAGAGAAAGCGGGCAGGCCCGTGGGCAGAGCTGCCCCACCTGAGACAAGCAACCAGAGAGACCTCATCTGCTGCCTGTCAGGGAGGGGAGGGAGTTGGGAGGAGTGGGGCTGGGGCCAATGCTGAGAAACCCCACCTTTTGCCACCGTGTGAAATCTTCCTAATACCCATGTCACGGTGCATAAGGAAATTCTGCCCTAGATACTGCAGTCCTCCTGAGAGGTGATAAAAAAAGGGAACGGACAGTCACACAGGAAAGGTTACGGATGGTGTACAGTTCTCCAAAGACGCAGGAGCCTGAAACAGCGAGCAAGCAGGAGGCGTTCCCTGACAGGTGCGACGAGAGAAAGGGTTTCGCGGTCACACCCGGGCCTCCAAGCAGTTTGCTTAGTGCTGCGGCTTCAAGTCTGCTGACTGAATGTGGAGCCTGCACGTGGCCACGTGATTCCAGAAACACCCCCCCGTCCAAAAAATAAAGTCTGGTCCTACTTTTACCAGCCAAGGACCCTTGTGACGTCACGACAGAAATACACACACATGTCCACTGCACAATTTTGTTGGCAGGGAATTCAGGGAATCCCAACATCTCCACAGTACGCCCTATGTTTGGAGTTGAAAAGGCCTAACCTAGGAGCAAATACACACAAAAAACAAACCCACTGTCATCAAGTCAATTCTGACTCACACTGACCCTACAGGGTAGGGCAGAACTGCCCCTGTGAGTTTCCGAGACAGTAACTCTTTAAGGGAGTAGAAAGTCTCGTCTTGCTCCTGAGGAGCCGGCTGGTGGCTTTGAACTGCTGTCCCTGCGGTTAGTGACCCAATGTGTATCCTCTATGCCACCGGGGCTCCAGAGCAAATAGTGGTTCCCCCCCCTATTAATGGCAACACCCACTGCTGTTTCCACTGAGTTCCTCTAGTGGTGCTCCCGTCAGCGCGCCTCACCTGTAAGTGGTGTAAACTCCCGGACAATAGAAGAGCGCGGTGAAGACACTCCTGTCCCTGCAGATGGTGTCCAAGGTGAGCGTGATCCCGTACACCGACGTGAGCAAGAAGATCAAAAGGGCAAGTATGAATGCTTGATGGTTTGACTCGCCAACACAGCTATTTATCCTCAAAACAGCAGGAGGGGAAAAAAGCAAATAAGACTTTTACAATCTCTCTATGGAACTCACTTGTTAAAGACGAACGCTCTTTAAAATAGGAATCGTGCCCATTCCAATCACTGGGACGTTCTCACAGTTCAAATCTCGGGATAAATACTGGCCTGTTGAGAGCCTTTCATCCTCTGCTTCTCGCACATCACGAGCTTAAAGACAGCACGGAGGACAAAGGAGAGCCTGGCTGGCCCATTCTTCTGAGGACTAGATGAAACCTACTCCCCAAAATGTCGAGAGCTATAGCTTCGTCGTCACAACAGGGAGAAGAAGAGATACTATCAGCTGTGGAAACGTACAAATCATAAGTGTTACAGGATGGGGAAAACAGATGCTCAAGAAGAATTTTTTAAAAATTCAAAGCGGTTAGGAGCCGAATGAAGGGTAGAGAAGAATGCAAAAAGCCGCGGCCACTTGTCAGGTAAACACATGACGGTAGGACCCTCTGAGCAGCAGGTCCCTCTCCCCACTGCACACAAGGATGCTCAAGTGGGCACACGAGGTTGTCTTTAAGACAAAGCAATCAGACCCACTACATCTGTAAATGGGCACGCTCGCGCTCGTGCACACACACGAGCAGTTCGTGGTCTCTGAGTGTAACTCAGCTCACTGCCACCAAGTCAATTCTGACTCGTGGCAACACTACAGGGCAGAGGCAAACTGCCCCTCTCAGGGTTTCTGAGACTAACTCTTTACAGGAGTAGAAAGCCTACTCTCCCGAGTAGCAGCTGTTGGTTTTGAACTGTGGACGGTGAGGTTAGCAGTCCAATAAGTAACCACCATGCCACCGGGGTGTATAAAATCTAAAACATGAATAAAAACACCCCGACTCCTTAATACAGAGCCCCAGGCAAGGGCTGCCCCTTACTCACCCAGTCCAGCACCCTCCTGGCCTTCCTATCCCTTCACCTTCTTAGTCTGTGAGGGGGAAGCATGCTACCTATGGAATCCTACGCGTGAAAAGTGTGGTCTGTTTACAACAGGCTTAAGAGGGATACAGCTGCAAGCTTGCTGCTGACAGCGCCAGCCCTGAATCCCTCACACCAGCTTTGTTTAGCCTGACTCAGTAGAGCGGCAGCCTTCGGTCTTACAAATCGCACATTTAGTTTTCCTTTGGGGCTTTAAAGGTCTTCACTTGTTACTGGCCAGCCAGGAGGTCCGGGGCACAAAAGGCGCCCATCTCTACAAACGGTCTGAAAAGGGAGGTACCCAGTAGGGCCTCAACTTACCAGTGAGTGGAAATTACCAGCAGCATCAACATGATTAACAATGAATGGCGAGAAGACAGAGTCTCCTAGAAATAGTAGTACTGCCTTTCTTTCCTGTGTCCCGAACGACAAGCACAGGGACATTAGCCGATAGTGGTCTGACAAATTCTAACATCCGTACAGACGCACGCTTCAGGTGCAGGTCCTGCTACACGGGCATGAGGACAGAACGTCAGGGGCAAGTCAAGAGACTAGCAAAAAGAAATTTTTTTTAAGTTTCTGCTATTGCCCCTCAGGAAATAACTGGGAGAACTAAATTTGTGAAATTTGAAAAAAAAAAACCAAAACCTGATGACTAAGTGGGAACATCTTAACAGCCCACATCCATCTACAAGGTCTAAGAGTAGGAAGGAGAGCTCCATCGGGATGACGAAGGCGTCCAGAGAGTTCTCTGGGGATTGGGAGATGTTCCACGCCTCCCCACGTGCCAACCTACCAGACGCAATGGTGATCCATTCGCCTCACACAGACACCGCACAGGCGGCAGTGCCACGCCCGGGCCGGCCTCACCAGCTGGCACTGGGCACACCAGTCCTCCTTCACCTTGGCGGTGCTGCCAGCTGCCAGCTTGGCGGCGTCCTTAAGCTCATCCTTCCCGGTTCGAATGCTGAGACTTCCTGCCACGTCTGCGGCCGAGAACCCCTGGGTCTTCTCCTGCCCCTTCCTGTCCAGTGCTTCTGTCTGGCTCTTACTGAACAAACGATCGCCGCCCTCTGGGTCCCGGAGGTAGCCTGGATTCTTCTTGGCTCGGTACAAGGCTAGGAGTATCAGAAATAACCCGCAGGTAAGGATGGCCAGGCGGGTGGGCCCCACACGCCCTCTGGGGACCACTTCGTGAAGGAACACATAGTACATGTAGCCCAGTGAGAACAGTCCGAGGCTCAGGAAGAACAGAGTCTGTTCTTTCCGTCTGTGAGTGAGGTAGTAGTACCACAGTGCCAGCACAGGAAGGGCGGTCAGCACCACCACCCCCAGCAGGAAATGCCAGGAGGCCACGTGGAGGAAGCCGGGCAGGAGGATGAGGGGGGGGATGATGGTAATGTTAACCTTTCTGGCTCCCCTGAGCCAAGGAATTCGGAGGCGATCGGAAATCGTATCCACGATTCGCTCGCAAGTCTCTGGCCGTATGGATTTGCACGTGATCCATCTGTCGAGAGAGAGCACAAAGAGGTGGCACTGCGTGTGGGCTTGCTGAATGCGAAACCCGGTAACGGGTCAGTGAGTGAAATGGTCCAAGGCCAAGAACTCCACTTCCTTGAGAGTAAAACCACAAGCTTTCTGGCTTCCTTTGTCATTTTTAAATTAAGAAGATAATGTTTAGAAATGTGACAGTCAAAATGATGACGCCTCTAAATGAACGGCCCACTGCTATCCAGTAGATTCCAACTCAGAGCAGCCCTCAGGACGGGGGACTGCTCCGTGGGACGCCCGAGACCATCAGTCTTGGTGGGAGCAGGCAGCCCTAGCCTGTGCCCGAGGCACAGCTGGTGAACTCCACCTCTCTCCATTAGCAGCGCTGAAGATTAACCCATGAATGCTTAACCGCTGTGATGATTCATGTGCTCTATATGCTGTACGATTCTGTTTAGACCTAGGCCAGCACAGTTATAAAACACCTCCGGAGAAAAAAAAAACACACAAAACCCCTCAAAAAGGCGGGAGAGGGAGGGAGGGAAAAAAAGAGGAGCTGATACCAAGGGCTAAATGTTTAGAAAATGGCAACATATGTACAAATATGCTTAATACAACTGATGTATGTATTATTGCTGTAAGAGCCCCCAATAAAATGATCTTTTAATAATAATTAAAAAAGAACCTCAAAAACTTTTATAATCCAGCAATGAAAATTTAGGAAATATTTGATAAATGGCAGAGCAGCAATAAAACACCCAGTGAGCTATTCTGGAAAGAGAATCAGGCCTGCTCAGAGGGAAGTGAACACAAGGGGAGTGGGGTGTGGAGGAGACCAGTGCTCCACCTGCGGGCTGGCTGGCACTTGCCAGGGTGCAGGGGAAGAGCAGCTGGCGGGCCAGTGGAGAGAAAGGTCCTGGGTCTGGGGCTGCAGGCACCACACCAAAACTCTAACCTAACTCACGGCCACTGAGTCCGTGCTGACTCCTGGCGACCCTGTAGGGCAGGGGAGAACGGCCCCTGGAGGTTTCCGAGGCTGTAACCCTTGACAGGAGTAGAAAGCCCCATCTTTCTCCTGCCCCAGAGCAGCTGGCGGTTTCGAACTGCTGGCCTTACGAGTTAGCTGCCCAATGCGTAACCACTAGCCGGCAGGCACTCCTATCTGGCAGGGTCAATGGGGGAATGGTATAGATGGCACACCCTTCAGGTATAGGGGACTGGATAGGAAGGGTGAGGATCAGACTCCTATGAACGTAATAAGTGAGGCACAGGTCAGCAGACTTTCCTGAGGAGGAAGAGGAAGCTGTCTGCACCGATCAAGACCGGGCCTCAGAAACCCTAGACAGGGTTGCTACGAGGTGGAATCGCATGAGCGGCATTGGGTTTTTTAATTTCGACTTAGCAAGGAACAAAACTTTGGTTTTAGATGGGCAACTGGTAAAGAACTGAAGAGTGAGCAGGATCTAACTGTACAGGAGCCACACAGAGCTGCAGGGAGTAGACACACTGAGCAAGGTCTCCCAGAAGGAGGAGCCCCGGGGAGAGGGGAGGGGGTGGGGGGTGAAGCCCAGGTCCCAGGAGCATGGAGGCACGCAGCGTTAGCAAGGTTAATGGAAGAGCTGCGGTCTTGATGGATGGAGGCTGTGAAAGCAGCAGCATCTCTCCGTTCATGTGTGCGAAGTGCTCCATCCTCTTAATGTGGGTTTCAGACTGCCAACCCGAAAGCACCTTTAGGAAAGACTTCCCAAAGGGCACTGCGCTGTCAAGGAAGAACGACGGAGAAAGAGTTACAGGGTCTTCAAGAGTCAAGGCTGGTTACCAGCCTGGATGGAGCAGTCCCTCGACAGTGTGTGTGTGTGTAATAGCTAGATGAATGCCCCCAAGCTCCAAGTCGGCAATTAGCAGCCACTGTGACTTTTTAAACTGGAAGTATTAATGGGAAAAGGCACGTTTCCAACCCTTTTGTATGACAACCTAAAAATTACAAAAATTTTTTAAAAGGAGGAAAATCCAGGCTATGAGTCTTGGGCACAAAATATTTTCAGAGATGTTGAACATGGTTTTCTGGAGAATGATTCCCATTGCTGAGGATAGTGATGCAAATAAAAGCCAAATTCAATAGGACTGATCCAGTCCACACAGAACTCAACCACTCCTGGGGGGCTCTGCTATGGCTTCTAGCTGAGATTTGTCCCCACAAGCAAGGGGCAAGACCAATCCCCATGACAGGAAAATGAGCTTCCAAAGGCCCTTGTGGCCAGGTACCCCCTAGGTGCTAATAGCTGAGACCCCCGAGACCATTGAAACTTTCTAGAAGCAATGTGCCTGTTTTACTGACAATCTGCTAGCTTGCTCTCTAGACTCACCTGCCCCCATTTCTGCCTCCCTCTCTCTTTTTCTCTCTTCGACATGAAAAATCATATCCCAGAAAAGTGAGCTGCAGATAACTGTGCACCACTGAGTAATTCGTCTTCATAAAATCCTCGCACTGGACACACAAGACAACTTTCCACTGTAGAGCCTGGGAAAGGGAAGCTGGAGCAAATTCTAGACTTTTGGGTTCCCAAATGGAACTACGGATTGGCACCAAGACACACGCGGCTCTTACCTTTCACACCCTTCATCGAGGTCTTGGCAGTCACACAAACAGGCAGCCACGTGGTTCTTCTCCCCGTCCTGATCTATGTACTCGCAGCAGCAGAGGGGCTCCAGTTCAGGCTCTTCGGTCTTCTTTTTCTTCGCAGGCTTCATACTGCCTTTCTGTGTCATGATTCTCACCTGCCACCTCCAGGTGTAAGCAGTCCTCTGAAGGTTAAGCTGCAAAGGACACAAGTTACATCTCGTAAACACATCCACGCCTCTCTGATTAACCACCAAAGCCCGAGGCTTAAACAGTAAAACAGCTTTCTGGAGGGGCCGTTCGCTGTCGATTTTGCGGCTCCCTCGGCTTACCCAGGTACCGAGATCCAGCCTCGCAGGGCTCAGAGCTGCCTTCCCCGCCCTCACCACCAGGGCAGGCGCCGTCTGGGTACCGACGTTCCCATGGCAACAGCCGACCACGCGGCCGGGACAGCCGGGCGCGGGCGGCGGCTGTAGTGGGCCAGCGGGCGCCGCCCGAAGCCTGGGCAGGTGGGCCCTCGCCCTTCCGGGCTGCGCAGGGGAACCGGGCGTGCGCCCGCTGTTGGCGGCGGCGCCCCGACTCTGAGGACACCCGGCCTCCGGGCAGCGTGCCGAGTCGCCGTCCAGCCCACTCTCCGCCCCTGCCAATCCCGAGGACGGGGACCGCGAATGACCTTGGGAGGGAAGTTACCTGCCGGAGACACCCAAGTGGAGGGTGGCTCCTCCGGCGGCGCGGACCTGTCTCCGTTCCGGGAACGCTGGACGTGGCACCTGGAGTCCCGACACCTGGACTCTGCTCGGCCGCGCCCTCGTCGCGGCCCACCTGTGAGCTCAGCCCCGGGTGGTCCGCACGGCGCGGGCACCTTCCGCGGCCGTGCCCGCGGCCCCGGCTGGCTGGGCTGGGGGCGGGGACTCTGCGCGCTTCCGGGTGCCCCGCCCCGCCCACCGCGCCCCGCCCACCGCACGTGCACCGCTCGCAGCCCGGGAACCCGCCGCGAGGCCCCGCCCATAAAACCCAAGAGGTGCCGCCACCTACACACCTTTGTTGCAACAGGCGTGGGGGGGATGTCACCGCAGTGTCCCCGCGGGTCTTCCCCCAGTTTCGCCAGCCTCCTTCCGAACGCTCGCACAGCTTCCTAAACTGTGAACCGATCCCACTTGGACCAGCAGGGCTGTCTCGGACTTTAATTCCAGCACAACCACAGTCCTCTGGAGTTTTTTTGCACAAAACATTTAAAGAGTGGCTTGCCTACGGACATGTATCCCCACAGCGGCCTTGCTGGGTTTTAGCCGCCTTAAGCTATAACAGAGAAAAATAAATATAACTCGGGCATTAAAAAAATTTTTATTGACAGTTTGCACAACGGGTTGAAATTTTTGCTGAATTCTGCACGCACATTTAATCTTATGAAGTAACTTACTTTGGTCCTTTTCTTTGAGGTATTTATGAAGTATTGTCTCGTCTCAAGGAAGCATCACAAAAATAGTTCATCGGTGGTCGTTTGTGTGAACTTAACAGAAAACAAGGCTTCAAGTTCACAGCCCAGTCTCTGTGGCTCTCACGGCCAGCCACTTTTAAAATCGGCATAAAAGAACGTGCAGTGAGCTTCCCTCAGGGAAACTCCATCCCTCTCACCCAGTCAAGCCTTCACCCTTGACCAATATCTCAGAGAACCGCAGCAAGCCCACGTGGCTTTGGGGACTCTGGGAAATTAGGGAACGCTTTGCTAAAGGCAAGCATTTCACTGATTATTCCACACCACCTTCCTCATGTTCCAGAGGACACTTCCTGAATGAAAACACCCGGAAAAGAAGTCTGATTGCAAGACAGTTCACAAAGGCCTTCTGTTCAGGGACCCTTCTACTGAGGCCTAGGACTTAGAACATTTTACGAAAGAGCCAAGGCTCACGCCTGCCTTACGACTTCAGAGTCAGTGCATTTGGATTGGAACAAACCTACTACAAAAGTCTTATTGAAGAGCTAAAGCTTGTGTCTGTTTCCTCAACTGAGCTACACATACACATACACACACACCAAATGAAGCCAGGTTTGGCTACTGAAAAGTAATAATTATCAACCCACATGTCTCACTTTCACCAACGGCAAAGCTCAAGCCAAGTTTAGTTCAAGTATCCATTATTTTGTACCTAAGAGCCCAGATTTTAACAATCCTCTAATCTTCCTAAAGTACTGAGCGTGACTCTTCATCTTGAGGGTTAATATCCTACATATACCCCTTTTCCTAAATTGGCTCTTCTGCTAATGATGTATTAAGAAGCAAGATAACCTCACCTCTCCTGGTGACCTTAAGAAAAAGCAACCGCCTCTTCCATAAAGTCTGTGAAGAATCCTTCCGCTACCTTTAGGATGCACTCTCACTGCCAACGAATCCGTGGCACGAAACCTCATACACCAGCGGGTGAACTCCCAAGGTTTCACTACTGAATTTTCACGATCCTCCAAAATTAGGTTTTGGAAGGTTTCCTTCTTATACCTAGAGGTTTCTTCTTACATGGCCTGGCCTCTGCAGCCTCTTGGAACAGGTCTCAATTGTCAGAGCAGTCTGTGGGCCAGTACTCGACGGACTCTGCACTAACTGAAAACAAAGCAGCAAACCTTCAAACCTCAAGCCGAAATGAGGGTTTACCAACGCAGGTGCCTTATTTTCTTCTCATATCGCAGAAATTCAACCCGGCTGTAGGGCTCCTTCACTGAGGCCATTCACAGCTTAGAGGGATGAATAAGAAGTGAAAGTACATGTTTCTTAAGGCCAGGTAGGGCTAATGATCAAATAAATGTTATTGAAGAACGTTAATAAAAGAAATGCCAATAATGAAAAAGCATGGAAATGTCCCTATGACAATTAAAATCCTTCATTGTTTGGTCTTCTCCCAGAGGTTTCCTTAGAGATGCAGGGTCTCTCCGTGGTATGAGTCCGCAGATCGCTAGCTCTTGACAGCCATGCCAGTCTTGTTCTTATTTAGGAGATCAAAGGTTTTCTGAAGCATAACAAGTGAGCTCTTCAACTGCAAACAAAATCAATGTGCAAAATCAGACAGCTTAAATTCCCTGATAATTGTATGCCCCAAAGCTTACATTTACACGTAACCGAACTGTGTTTATACTGATGCCCAAATATCAGATGGAATGTAAAACCCCTGATTCCTCAAGAGGCCGGTTGTGATGATTGCTACAGCATTCTGCCCATTAGCCGGCCCTGCACACATCCTCCTACACTGTGCTGTGGTACCTTCTGCCTGCCAAGAGGCCCACTCGCCAAACTATCTCGAGTGAAAGGGCTGTTGGCTTAAACAGCCTTCTGGTGTTGCCGTGGTCTCATGGTCCTCCAAACAAATCAAGCTGTACTTCTGGTCCTTTGCGTCTCTTATGCGCCTCTGTTCCTTTCTAAAGGAGCCCTGATGGCACAGCGGTTGCTCATTGGTTGCTCATTGCGCTGCTAACCCACCAGCTGTTTTGCAGGAGAAAGACTGGCTCTCTAATCCTGTAAAAAGTGACAGTCTGGGAAACAGACTCACAGGGCCAGTCTCACCCTGTCCTGTCAGGTCACAGTGAGTCAGCAGTAAGAGAATGAGAGAGTGGGCCTTTTTAACATTTACCACCCCCCACTGTCAACAGTCATTTTCCTAATCACCCTGCCTCAACTCCTAAAACATTGCCCTTAGGATGAATGTTGACCCCTGATTTGGTACTTCCTATAGTCTAGCAACGAACAAGGACATCTGGTTTCCCTAATAAAATGATAGGCAAATTGAGGGCAAGAATCAACATCTTATTCCTGTTTGTAGTCATTCAACAAATATTTTTTGCTACCTCGCATATGTGGGCCCTGTGTAAAGCAGGGGATATAGTACCACAGCGAACCGAATGAGGTGTTCTCCCTTGCCTTCATGGAGTTTACAGAACTAGTGTAAGATTCAGAACCAAATGAATAATCACATGCATACACATACTCCACACATCTCAGTGAGTGTTTGGCTTGAGAAAACTAGAAGCTGGTAATATCAAGGGAAGATGAGTAGAGGAGACGTAAGTGTTTCTGTGGGAGGGAAACTGGATTCTCTTGTGGCCGTGAGCTGATCCAGATGCTCAATAGCATCCTTAACAGGCTAACATGCCAGAGAAGCAACTGACCATGGGTGTAGAACTCAGGGAGGAAGCCAGGTGAGAGGCGGGGATTTAGGAGCAATGGCACGTGTGCTCTGTAAAGCTATGGGAGTGGATGAGATTACCTGGGGAGAGAAGAGAGAGGAGGAGAATCTTACACAGGGTCCAGGAAGAGGTCGGGTAGAGGAGATAGTTGTAATCAGCCAAGAATAGTGTTACATGATGCTGAATGAGGGAAGCCAGCCACAGAGGGTCACATAAGAAATAGCCAGAAAGAGATAAATCCATAGAAACAGAAAATGAAGTCATGGTTGCCAGGGGCTGGGGGCAGGGGGAATAAGTGCTAAGGGGTAAGAGATTCCTTTTGGGGCACAGGAAATATTCTAGAAATAGATAGTGGTGGTGTCTGCTGACTGTACAACCCTGGGAATATATTAAAAACCACTGAATCATACCCCTTTTAAAAGGGCGATTTTTAGAGTATGTGAGTTATATCACAGTAAAGCCTCTTTTTTTTTAATGGTTTTAAGAAGGCAAGATTAGATAGCATTTCAGCAGGGAGTGGTCAGCTAGCTCTATCAAATGCTGAGTCTGTCAGATGAGAACTTTAAAAGGCACATTCCCTGTATAAGCAGCAATCAGTGGGCCTCTCAGAGCACTCTCAGTGGAGTTGTGTGGGGAGAAATGCCAGGTAGGTGAGCTGGGGAGAGACCGAATGGACAGAGAGCCTGATGGACTGTTTTCAAAGCACATGACCAGCCCAACGGGTGGGAGAGCAGACAAGGGGGCTCCCCGCAGGCAGCACAGTCTGAGACACAGGCCAGCAGATGCGGGAGGAACAGACAAGGAAAAGCAGAGTCTTAAGTGCACAGCAAGAACAGGGGAGGGCATTTTACACTAAAGCAGCTTCAAATGCCCCGGAGACTGGGAGTCAGGAATCTCTGGACGGGAGTGAGGGAAGGAGCCCAAATCAGAAGGGCTCATGTAACTGGGAGCCATCAGCTTGGCCTGCACTTTGAAACGGTTTGGTTTCTGGTGTGGTTTACTACCTTGGTCCCAGCCCCTCCACACTGAAAGTATTCACACACGGAAGGCCTTTTGCAGATCCTAAAAGGAACTTTTAGGAGGGAAAGGGAAGTTTCAGGTATACACAGTCTCAGAAAGTAGAGGCTAAATGTTTTGAGAATGATGAGGCCAATGAATGTACAAATGTGCTTTACACGGCCTCCACTCAAGTACTCCCTCAATGCAAGAATACTTTCTTCTATTAAATTGGCATTCTATGATGCTCACCTTCCCGACACAACCGCTGAAGACA